CGAGCCGATCACTTTATCGTCTGAAACATTGTTTAAATAATTTGTTACTCGCAAGTTTTTGATACGCAAATCGTTTGAAAATTGCCCTTTAGGTAAAAAAGGAACGATTTTTTTTACAAAAAGATCGGTTTAAAATAGTCTCAAAGATTTCTAATGGTATTTTTTCAAACGATTTTTAGTGTATCGATACGCGTATCGCCCATCCTTACTTTGCCCTTTCGTTTCTCACAGAGCCAAGTTAGAACAGGTTCTATTATGTTACTAATTAAATCAAATCAAATGATTAAATTAAATCAAATAAACGTATGGTAATCGTACTTGCACGCAAGATACGCTTTGTAATCGAACACGTCCATAGGGGAGAACAGTAAGACACATTCCACGGATTCATCCGGGGGTAAAATCCCCTTCTCGGGATAAATTCCAAATGGTAGATCATTGCTCTCTAACCAGCTATCGCTACTTCGTTCCGTCAATCCAGCACTGCTGCTGAAGAGATCGGATGGACCACCGTGGCGAGCAGTTGGTTTCACCTCGATAAGATTGTCTGCAAACATTTATTTTTTACCGATTCGAATATATTCCGTTTTTCTTTCTTATAAATCAGCACCGTACGGAAATTGAGTTACCTCGAGTTGACAGAAACTGTTGACGATTCGATGTTACGCTTCTATCGAAACTTGGATTGTGTCGTTGATGAGGTAGTTTGTGAGACGTTAATGAGGTAGCTTTAAATCGAACATCATTCTTTCGCGATTTTGATGTGACTCGTGAATAATTTGCGATTGATCTCATCGGATACTGCTCGTCCATGTTTATTTGCCACGTATATTCGACGTCGACGGTACCAATATTTGAAAAAATGAACGAGTGTTCGCTCGTCTGTCGACAAAGAATTTCTAATTACAATTCGTCATATCTTAAACAAAAATTGTGAAAGTCAAATTCGCCTATATCGAATCACTAATATAAAGTATTTTATCGCCTCGCGCGGGTAATCGAAGCTGGCCGAGTGCAGTCGAACGTAACCGAACGTGCTAAGTTACGCGTCAAAGTCTGGCGAGCAAGTCATTCTGCAATTTTCGCGTTTATCATTCAGTTAAAGTAAATCTCATGCACAAACGGACATCTCAGACGCTTGTAAGGTAGCAGGCAACAATTACGCGATACGTATGAAGCATTGAAAGTATTAATTATTCTTCTATTCAATATTAAATTTGCGAACGTCTGCACGGAAGATTTGTTTTTCCAGGGTAGCGATCATGTAACTTTTTCCCTAGAACGAAAACGTGAAAAGTGAAAATTTTTTGTACCTATGTATGTATATGGACACACATACATAAAAATTTCCACTTTTTACGTTTCCGCTCCAAAGAAAAAAGTTACATAATCGCTACCCAGATTCAAATCAAGATGGCAGCGCATGCTCCACATCGCGTCGCTGAGTCGCGCCGCCGTGAGGCGGCGGGCACAAGCTCTGCGCATCTTTGAACGAAAGTCGTTCGAGTTAGGACCTAAGCACAAAAGTTACGTTTACAGTACATTTAGGCCGCGGCCTATACAATAGATGTCCTTGTTTATACTGTTGGTTAAACAAAGATACCTATCGTATAGGTCACGGACTAAGAGTACGGTATAAACGTAGTCAAAGATGACCTGAGTCGTGGAATGTAAGTCGTAGTTGTAGATCGACAAAATATTGTGCGTTGACTACGATTACGACTCACGTTTCACGACTCATTGTCAGTTACGACCACCTTTGTGCTTAGGCCATCAAGCGGGCTAACACGCGTCTGTTCGATGTCTTACAATCAGTTAACGTGACAGGAACAAGTATTTTCGAGAGCGTTTCTTGTTTGTGATCTCAGCGACGAGTGTGTCACGGAAATACGTAATAAGTACAATACAACGCGTTGCCAAAATTGTCGATCGGTCACGTCGAAGTGAAGTGAATCTTTCTATCGGGGAAAATTACGTTGCGACCCGCCAAATGTTGCGGTTCCTTCTGATCCGCAAAAGTGCAGTACGTGCATGACGAAAAGAGTATCACCGGGAGTGCCGTGCAAAGTATCGCGCGATCATCGTACTGTTAATAACACGAGATTATAATTATAACGTTTTTTTTTTCGACTATTCGCGCACGTACAAAGTTAACCTCCATTGCGGATTCTAAATCACACAGCCCCGACAGGATGTTGTTTATCGTGGGATTAGATATAATCATGGTTGGTAAGTAAATCAATTTATTGGTTTACCGATATCAGTGTTGGGGGCATCCAAAATACTTTTACTTAAAACACATTATCTGCAATACAAATGTATTTTGTATTTTGTATTTAAGGAACGTTCGTATAACGTATTTAACATTAGAGTATTCTTTTTTCCGTGAAATTATTTGTCGTGATAAGTTTATGTAAAACAAGAAAGTTTAAATAAATATTTAATTTATTTCAATTTATTTGTAGGAATTTAATATTAAAAATTTTATTCTTATTAAGTTCTATTTAGATTAAATTCTATTCTTCATAAAAATATATAAACAATTTTTATAAATGTTTGGGAAAACGCGTATAACTAAATTATTAAAATTACTTTATGTAATTTTGTAAGCAGATAACCATGATTGGTAAATAAATTTATTTAGAAAGGATAACTGTTATTTTATGCAGAAAAAATAGAATTAAATATAACATAAAAGGAATAAGAAAAATAAATATAATAATTAAAATTAATATGAACAAAATAAGAATAGATTACCATAAATAATCACAATTATATACGATTAAACATTAATAAATATTATAAATTATTTAAAGCTAAATAAAAGAAAGAAGAAAAATAAAAATATTATTAACTAGCCTACATTATTTTCGCAATTCCACATAAAAAGGTTTTTGGTATATTTATAATAGTTTGGTATTGTTGCATCATTTTTACTGCATTTTAATGGACGTTATTTTTATTTCGCATTTTTTTAAATTTAACAGGCAGTGTTGTGCAAATAATATGTTAACATTTGTTTTAGCTACAGATTTTTAAATATTCTTTCAAAAATATATCGAGATTGATGCATGCTACAACTAATACATAATGCAGAGAGAAAATATTGAAAGCCGAGAGAATCAATTTTTACTATCCGAATGGTTAATATATTATCGATTTTAACCGAGTAGTAAACAAAAGTAAAATAATCCGTTGCCTGTGTGGAAGTTTGATTTTTTCTTTATTTTTCGCGCAAACAATAGTCGGAATTGGATCAGATATGAAAGTATCAACGATACGGTTTGCATTTTATCGAATTTCGTGACGTTCGTGTGATTTGTTTGCGGATGTGTCAATTCAGAAAATATTCGCGTTATTACAAATAAATATTTAAACCCGATACGAGTGAACGATTGCGAAATTATTTATAATCTGTATTTTTCGCTTCAATAAAATAAAATAATCAGTTGAGTGTTTCAGTTGTAAAAGAGAAATTGATAATTATATTATACTACATACAGAATATAAGAAACAGATCGCAGATCAAGAAAATTGAGGGTAAAGTGGGGCTATTCTGTCATTTTCAACCTTAAAGTAATATAAAATTTACAGCAACAAACAATATCTTTTTGCAATAACGTGCTTATAACTACCTTATACAATCATGATTGCTTCTTGAGAGCACAAGTATGATCTTTAAATGTTCAGTAATGTCGTGAGAAATGGACAAAATAGTCCCGCTTTATTCTAATTCAAAAACATTACAAATAATTTTTACAAACTTCTGCAAACTTTGAAGAAATATTTTACATTTGTATGTTAAATAAAAGTATTTCTTTATCATATTTCAAAATCCTTTTAAACATAAATTATTATCGATATAATTATAGCAAAATCAATTACACCGTAGTAATCATGATATATCTAATTTAACATTTGAACGCAAGATATAGAATTTGTAATTATAGTATACAACCTGAAACATTAGCGTGTTCTTGAAATTGATCTCTTTAACGGAGCAAGAATATTTGGAGAATGCTATAATGGCGTTAAGCAACACTTGGATACACTTCGTCGTACCAGGAACGATTTCATGTTTCGGCTCGTTAACAGGCTCAATTGTTTTTTTAGCTATTTTCGCATTTCGGTCCTTGGCATCAGAATTTATTGTTATCCACCGCACCTCTGTCTCTCGATCGTCCCAGGATGATTCTTTCACGAGATTGGCGAGTTCAATTGCATAGACTGTACATTCGAGACGCGTCTGTTAATAAGAAAACAATATTTTTATATGAGTTTTTTTTTAATATGCAGTAATACCAAACAAAGAAACGCAACTATGACCTTACTTGACAAGATTTACGAAATCTTTTATTTGGATATTTTGTTATTAAAATTTATTTATTTTTTATACAAAAATATTCTTAATTAGATGTTTTATGTACGTTTTGAAGTACTAGTTTTGATAATGTAATTTTAATTAATTGTTATCGATATGTGCTTCAATTTAAAAAAAATTTTTTTTTAAGTTTACACAAATTAAAAAAATAAAAACTAATAATCATATAAAAATGCAAATTGCAAATATTAATTGGCGATAGTTTGCAAACTTGATAATTTTATATTACGTCAATGTAAATTGTTGGCTCCGAAGAAAGGAATGTCGCAACGATTTCTTTACAAGTTAAAGGTCTCAGATGACCGATTGACGGAGTAAATACAACGTTGGGATGTGCGCTCCATTGAAAACGTAAATATTGATTTACTGATTTATTAACAACTTTGAAGTTCTTCCTGTATATTTTATTGACAAAGCAGTATCCATAATCCAGCTTATAGATCAATGAAATCGGGAGTATTGTTGGTGTTGAAACTGTGAAATATAAATCACTGAGCAATGAAAAATGTATAAATTGTACTTAAAAAAATATTTATAGGAGATCGATGAAAGGATATCGTAAATTACATTGTTGCTTGTTATAAAATAATAAATTCTCTTATACTCATATTGAAAATAATTAAAATAAACGATAAACAAATATTTCTGACAAATTTATTAAAAAGTTTAAGTAATAAACAAAAGGAAAAAATTTATATTAAAATTATAATTCTCTATAATTATATTCTTTATAATTATTCTTTAGAAATGTTCTTCAATTTCGATTACCTCTTGTACTATTTGATTTTGACGATCTTCGCGATTTTGCGTTAGATTCCCTTCTTTCATTGATAGAATTAAGCTTTGCATTCGCGAGCTCTAATCCACTTAACACAATTAATTCTGCATACGTTTCGCTCTTCAAATCAATTGTTAGATTCTCATAGGGATTATCAGTAATAAATAGTCGCACTTGACTTTTGTATTTGCCGATCTCTCGCGGAGTAAATTTTACTTCGAGAGAAACCGTTTCCTCAGGTATTAAACAAACTACGATACATCGATCGTTTGACACTGTAATGTAACGATTTAGCTATTTAATGTGAAAGTAGTATTTATGTCATTTCATAATAAATTTTATTGAATCCTATTAAATATATTTATACCTACTAAATATATCAATTTTACTTCATAGAAATTAAAAGTTGATTTGAAAAAATTATTTTAAAAAGATACACTATTTAGTTGACTACTATTTATTTTGACACTATTTAAAAAATATATGCATGTATATTTTTTTATTATTATTCTCAATGAATTACTTATATTATGAAAAACTATGATATTTTTTTAGACAATTGTAGCTGTAAATTATTAGAACCTGTATAACATACAGAAATAACATTGATGTGATTATTCAAAAAGATCTGTTTTCTGTATTAACAATTGATCTTTTGAGATCTTAAACACTTATACAACTTTTCTTATGAAATGTTTATTTATCTTTTTAATTTTTTTATAAAGAAAAATTAAATTGACGATTAATTTTATAGTACCAACCACTTGACAAGTTTCTTGTACCCTCGCAAATGTTGAGAGTGAAATGAAAATATGGATCCTCGATAATTTCGATAATCACTTTAGCTGGTATCACACCGATATTTTTAAAAGCAAATTTTTTTCCATTAGAATCACCTACGAGCGTACGACCAAAATTTAAAATAGTTCGTTCTCGTTTTGTACTCGGTGGTTCGATGATTATCACTTCTGGCACGCAAGCTTGTCCTACTAATTTAACGGAAAATTTTTCATCCTTCAAATGTGGGGGAAGTTCGACTGCTATATCGAAGATTGCATAGCACGTCTATAATTATAATCATAAATCATGACAAAAGAAATTAAATTGAAATTGAAAATGTAATACTTATTTTATATAATCGTATAATATGAGTGTAAATTAATAATACTTTTGTGGCTCTCACGGATATTTTCTTCAGAAGTGCTAAAGGATTTGCGAGTTATCGCAAATACCGTATTAATCATTCATTGCTAATGCCAATGTTTCGTGAACTGTGCCGTTCATTTCAGAACGAGGAGTATCAATGCGCTCCTCGCACTGATAACCCGCAAACCCTTTAGCACCTCTGATGAGTGCAAATTATTATAGATATTTAAAATAATTTCTTACAATTTTCTTTTTTTTTAAATTTACATTTATAAACTAAACTCATATTATTTCTTTTTAAATATAGCTTCTTTTAATAATCTATTAATTATGTGCCTATAATCGTAATATACATATAATTATACATATACTATATTAATCTGTATATATGTATATATACGAGTATATATAATATGCCGGAGCCAAGGCTCCAGCCCACGCGCCGCGATATACTCGCGAAAATGTCGTCCGGACGCGACAGACAGAAATTGATTTTTTAGCATTTATTTATTTAAAGAAATCAGTGGGATAGAGTGGGAGAGATTAATAAATTATAAATTATTGTTTCAAACGAATAATAATTATTTTGCTAATATGATCCTTGATGTTAAATAAATTTCTTGTTTCAATGCAAATTTTTCGTTACTTTAATTATCTATAATTTGTTCATTGCGATTTCGAATTAAGGTAACAAAGTTAAACTGAGATTGTCGGAGATCAAGAGCGTTTAAAGTACTCTCCAAAACTTTTAGAGTGATTTATATCACTTTGAAAAGTGAAATCTTACTCTTAAGAATTGAAAACTGAGCCACTTTTTCTTAAGTTTGGCTTTTTATTCTTTAGAGTGAAATTCCACTTCAAAGAATTTAGAGAGTATCGCTCGATGCAATAATTATGTTATATTAATAACATCACCGCACCACTTATTCAAAAGTGGCAAATAAATTGTAAGTGAAAATTTAGCATATTATATAAAGCTTTAAATATTTCAAAATAATTAGTTTGAAATAATCAGTGTGATCTTGATATTTGTGACATTATTTAATCGTTGTATACACAAAGTCGTCGCTCTCTCAGTCGCACAATAACACTCGACTCAATCAAACCTCTTCGTATTTCATCGCTATAAACTTATAAACGTAATTTTTCTCTTATTATAATTTGTTAAGCAATCAGTTATCTCTTATGATTATTAACTTATGTCGATACAACAGCTACTTATCGAACTAGCTATTTTATTCTATTCATTCATTTGAAAATTGTTGGAAATCGGAATCGAAGCAATAGGAGATGAAAATTATAAACTATCTTATTGTGATATTTACGAATGATAATTGGTTTTTACGTAAGATTTCGATTTTGATATATTTATCATGCTTTATATATTTTTTAAATTAAATGTATAATTGTTTATTATTGTTTTTGGATTTGGGAAATGCGGAGTGACACGTGACTCATTGGAGCGAATAATTTCAAGTAATGTAAATCTGTATGCTATCGATTGTGTACTGTTAATATGTATTTATTTCTAATAATGTAACATAAATTTAAAATATGAATTTAATTTAAATTAACTTAAATGATTCTTATTCGAGTGTGTGAAACTAGATATTATGTCTATTTTCACTGATAATCATGCAAGAGATCGGTCTTTAATTAATTTTAACTTCGGGAATGCCGTGCAAATTGTTTTAATTGTTCGCGAGGTTGTAATTAATTCATGCATAATTACAACTAATCGTGTTTCGTGTGTGTAGTACAGTTAAGGAACTTTAGAGGAAGAGAAGGTCTGGAAGACATCGGCGGAGCAACTGCGAAGTAAGTAAATTTTCTATTTATATATTATTTTTATTTGTTTATTCCCGTTTATTTGAATGATTTAGAATCAAAGAAAAGAACTGTTACTTTATAAAAGTTTTTTTATGAATGATTTTCTTTTGCATATATAAATTATAATTAATTTATTAAAGAATTTAATTACGTAATTGTTTCACATATGTTAATTATTTTGCTTGTAATAATTTGGATTTTGTTCATATTTTACAGATCAACGTAGTTACAACGTAATCTACAACTTCGCTGTTGCGCATCGTCTGATGAGTCCATAATAATTTCTTTTTAATTTGAAGATATTTTATATTATTGTTTTTTTTTTAGAACAAGATAGTATTACCTCTATAAATGTCGGATTGAATGAAATCGCGAATCTCTTGTGACTCATTGGTTGAATGCGTTCTCTTTCGGGTATCAGAACGAAAGTGTCAGATCTCATAGTCTTCGGTGTAAATGAATCCGCAAGTAAGGTCAATTCCACGTCGGCAGGTATTACATTCCGATTGTAAAGCACAAGATACGCCGTATGGGTGTGAAACACGCTGACGTAACGAAAGTACAGGCATTTCTCTTGACGTGCGAATATGGTATGTGTACCGATCTGATAAAAAGTAGCCTCTCAGTTTTACTTTGATTTAAAAGATGAATACGATATTGATTTGTTGAAGGAATTAAATACTTCTTTTGAACAAATAAAGTCTTCAATGCGATTCACAATGTGATTTTCATGGAATATAGTGTCGAGATCTTGAAGATCGACGCTCGGTATGCAGGAATTAACGGATAGTTTTATCAATTTGCCATTCCTATCTTCAGGAACGCTATCAGGAACGAGAATTATTATGTCTTCTTCTTCAGAACCTACGAATTCAGGATAACACTCGATTGCCACGGTATCGATCTCTCCAGGCTGAAGGTCTCCTTCGGTTTTTGTCACAGTAAAGGGACCAATTTTTAACATAGAAATAAATTCTTGTGTATTTCTAAAAATAATTAAATATTTTTTAATTAAATCAATATTTTGTTTATAATTGCATTAAAATCATTTTTTGAAATATTTAATTAAATTAAATAGTAGGTATATAAAAATAAAAAAATTATTCGAGATAAATTGATATACATGTTTACATATGTCATAAAATTATTAATCAAAAGAAGGATTTTTTAATATTTACCTGTCATCTGATTTTTTTATTTGCGATTTATCTTTTCTCGTTGACGTATCTGTCGATTTGTCATGATCCTTTTTAATTACGCTTTCTGTCCTAATTTCTGTCATATACTCAATGAATGGATGTTTGATAGGCGTTACAATAGAGTAATGAAGAGGGAATTTACCGACATTTTCCACATTAAGATATAACGTTTTTTTCGTGCATATACCAAGTGAGGAAAAATTTATTTCATTGTAAGGATAAATGCGAAACCTGTATTTAAAAGAGATAATGGAATATAATTTCGAATAATTATGACCATTATTAATATTTATTGAGAACCAGAGAAAAATATTTTATGACTAAATTGTAAATAATACAATTTTTTGAAAGTTATAAAAGGAAAACTTTGCTTCAAAATTTTGACATAATTTACAGAAATTATCAACTTTAAGTAACAATTTACTTCGTGTAATACGCAATCAGGGAAATTGTGAGAGGAAATTCCGCAATTACAGAAGTTTGTTTATTCATATCAAGAAGATGGCATCGGAGTATTGGGCACTCTTTTAGAGTAATTTCATTTTTTGGTACGAAAGTTACCTGCCATTGAACAGAATTTCATTACTTAAAACTTATGGCTACTTTGATTTAATTTACATTTTTAAATATATAAAAATACATTAAATTTGTTTGTATTGTCTATTGTAAAACATTAAGTCAATATATAAAAATAAAAATAATTAGTATAATTATTTTATAGTTAAAAATAATTAGCTTATTTTAATTTTTAGTGATGTAATGCAAGAAATCATCAAAAAGAAGTGCATCAAACAACATACTTGTACAATAACTTCTTTTTTTGGTTGAATGGAACCAGAAGCAGGATTAATTTCTATGTCCTCGTTTAATTTTAGTGACAAATTCGGCGCGATTTTTGCTAGTTTGTTTTGCTTTTCCAAAAGTATGCTAATTACAATGCTTAATTTAATTAATATATACATAGCATATATAATTAATAATTAATATACTATAAAAATAACTTTAAAAGACATTATAAAAGGACATTTTGTAATGTATGAAAACGTTAATGTGTACAATTTCAATGATAGTATCTCGATACAATGAATATAAGAACTTGCTAGATACACTTTTCAACTTACGCATATTTAACTTCGTGATTTCCTTGATTGCTTATTGTAAAATTTGCGCTTGTAGGAAAACCAACCTTCACGCACTTTAAATCAATTGGATTTGCATAATTGATGTTAACAGCAACGTCATACGTTTCGCCAGATAAAGTGATAGTTTCTATAAAGATAGGTTCCGTGTCGTCTTCGTAAAAGAAAGCTTTGAAAGTCAAGCTTCCTTCGATCATCCTGATCTAAACCGAAAATCTAATTCAATCTATTAAATTTAGAAATACCGAACAGTTTTTTAAGAAATTTATATTGAAAGAATTAAAGAATTACTGAATTTCTAAATTTAATCAAATAAAATTAAAATATTAATATTTTTAATAATAGGTCTTAATATTATTTAATGTAAATTTAGTTTAATCTTTTACTTTGTTGGCGTAATAACAAAATTCGACTGTTTTATCACTGTAAGTCTTGATTATTCCTTTAGTCGGTGTAATAGAGATTTGAGGATCTAGTGGTTCATTAGGCTCCAATTGCCAGAATATTTCGATTGGGGATCTGTTTCGGATACAGGAAGTAAGAAAGTTTTTTCTATACAAGAGTACGTGACCAAAAGATAACTGTTTGTCCTCAAACTCTATGTCCAACTTCGAACCATTACATTGAAGCTAAAACATTTCAGGTGTAATAATCTCTATACATACACACACACACACACACACACACATACAACACACACACATATTTTCTATAAATAAAAATACGTGTATATATGTATGTGTGTGTCAATATTGTGGTTTTTCATTCTTTTTGTATCTAATTACCTCGATACTCTCAATATGCGGATTATTTGTGATACATATGTATAACTTATCAGTAAATGAACCAAGCTTTGTAACACCTGCTGATATTTTTAGCAATTCACACTGGCCAGCCTACACAATTAAATAACAGAAAATAATTTTAAAATCTGCATGTTTTTAGTAATAAATAGATATATTTTAAACAGAATAATAAAAAATACCTGAATATAAAATTTCTCTGGTTCTATAATGAAAATATCTGGATTATTTTCTTGGAGAGTGAAGGACACTTCTACGTCAACTTTGGATACATTGCAAAACTTTAATTTTGCTTCACGACGATGAGCACTGTTTGTAAAAATTGCACATTTATAATAAATTTATAATAAATTTATAATAAATTTGTAATTGATTTATAATAAATGACCCAGTAATTAAATAGGAAATTGAGTTTCGGTGAAATGAGTATCTCATGTATGCTTATAATTTGGTGAACAAAGATATCAAATATAAGGCTCAATAATGGATAATTTTTGAACTATGGTGTATCAAAGGTGCTTTATGAGTATATGTTTTATTATGTTTTATACACCGTATCTGATACTTTTCGTTATTGGGCATCATACAATGCATCAAATCAAACCTTTTATCCTTTTCATACACCAGTAATGATCCGAAGTCGAAGATATCAACATCAGAAAAGTATGTGGGATCAATTATATTGTTTACCTTTGTTTTTTTGATCTGGAACACGGTTTATTAATTTTATTAAAATCTTCATTAATAATCATTTTAGTAATATAAACTTGCACAAATTTTAATAAAAATTATGAATAATTTATAAAATATAAATAAATAAAAAAAAATAATTTATAAAATTATTTAATATTAAATTAAATTAATAAGTAATTTAATTTAATATTAAATTCTTTTAATGTTTTTTATATGCATTTTAATATTTATGCACAAAAAACGTTATTACTTTTGAAAAAATAGTATTAGGGTTCATGTCTAATCTTGGGACATCCGCGACGACAGAAACATTGATATCATAAGTAATTTCATTGCCATCAAGGATAGATAGTCCATATGTTTGTCGGTGAGTTCCAACTTCTTCAGGTTGATATCGAATCTTGAACTTCTGAATTTCATTAGGTTGCAAAATCCATCGTGGTTTTAATACCTTCTCAAAGATTGTATTAATATTAGGTTCATTAATATCCATGCTGTCTACCGTAGATGCGTTTAACGATACTATCAATGGTTCTTTATTTCTATTGAAAATACGTTCTTTGCGCTTGGCATTTTTTACAGAACTTTCTCGCTTACTAATTATACTAGTGTGTGACGAATTGGATTTTATAATCATAGAGTTGGATAGTGTGGATAAAGAAACAATTTGAAAAGCTCCTAATTAATAAAACAAAATCACGATTAATACATTTTTATGTGATAAATATATTACATGTTATAAATTATACAATATAATATACTTGCCATTACTTCCAATATCTCGTTTTTTTATATCTCGCGGCTTAAGAATATAATATTTTTTTGATTCGAGATCCATTACCGTCATGATTTCAGCAGCTAGTTTTAAACATTACTATTGTATATTTTTATAGAAAATTTAAAGAGAGAAATACATTACTTACGAAGAGCTTTTTTAGCTAAATCATTTTCCCTCATTTGATTTACTATTACATCATACATCACTCGATTCCATGGATCTGTAGCATTTACGTACCAAGTATGAAATCCGTTCTTATAAATCTGTTAAAATAAAATTTTGTAGATATAGAATGTACAGTAAATTTTTTTGTTTAAATTCTAGATTTAATTATAAGCGTATATGTATATATATATAATATATATATATATATACAAAGAACAAAATACGTATATATACAAAATACTTATTTTTTAAATAGTAATAAGTTCTACAAAAAAAACTTATATAAATTTTTTAAATTGTTAAAATTTATACGAAAATAATTTTCTCTTAAAATTTACTCTGAAAATATAGTAGTCGGGTACAACATTTTAAAGATTTTTACCTTTTATGCACTTTAGTAAAATTAATCAAACTTATTTGATGTTTTATTGTAGTTTTATTAATAAATGAGAGAAATTTACATAAAGTTCTTCGAAATATAATGTTTACAAATATAATGATAGTCTCAAGACTATCATATTTTCAGGATAAACTAAAAAAAGAATTCTTTCCATGTATATATTATACCTCTTTACTGATATCAGAATTTTTGTCTTTTGTATCAATTAGTCTATCGGTCTTTAAATCTTTGCTTTTTGGCGTAAACAATGCATCCTAAAAATCATTGGCAATAATATAGTAAATAGTAATAAATGTTTTTAAATATTAAAAAGAAATAATCAAAATTGTAGGATTTTGTGGATATTTACTTTTTTAAGAGGATCCCAATTTTTTATAACATTTTCTACAGCCGAAAGATGGCTATAATAATCATTCATAGCATCAGTAATAGCTTTCAATTCCTTTGATGTTTCTTGCTTTTCTGAAACTGCGTATAAGATTACAAAAATAAAATAAAATTTTTTCTCTCGACAAATTAATATTTGCATGATATTTTGTTTTACTTTAAATATTATTTGGTTTAGATCTATATCTACTTTCAAGCTCTTTATGCTCTCGAATTTCTTTCTTGTGGATGAGCGTTTTAGAAGTTTGGAATTTTTCTTCTCGATTACTGATTTTTTCATTCTTTGCCTTTCCATTTACTTTTTTATTCTTAGTGGTTTGAGCGTTAGATACTTGCTGAGGAAAAGAAAATTTTTGTGGAATGCGTATTATCGATAAGAAACTTAAATATTAAATATTACAAATATAATTTCATTTACATTAATATTGTTGGTAGAATCATGAAACTGGCAAGAGAAAAATTATGGGATAGAAAAATTATGATTATGTACATTTTATATAAATTTTCAAAGAAAATATAAATTATATGTGCGGAATGTATCAATGATCTATGAAGTTAAATTAAAGTTGATACTTTTTTTCTTCTCAATTCCGTCATTTGTTGTGAAAATTGCATTCGTCTTTGCAACGCTTCTTGTTTCTTTATTGGTAAAATTGATTCTAAATAAAATTTCTTATCTTCTTCTGGAAGCAATTCATATTCCGATAATGACATTTCATCAATTTCTTGAATTTTCTTAGCAACTTCTTCCGTTAATTTGTTTGCTTTATTCAAACAATTAACGTAAAAATTTAATCCTTTTAAAACATTTATGTATATATTTTATTTTACTATAACTTACTTTCTAATTTTTGTAATTCCTCCATTTTGTGAATGTAAGTATCTATTGAGTTTAGAAAAGTTACAAACAATGAATATTCTACGTGTCCAATAATGTTGAGTAATGTAAGCAGCGTGGTAACATTGTTTTTGAAAAAGAGGTTGTTTAAATTTTAAAGTTTGCAATACGAAACCGCTCTTGAAGACTGATGTTGACAACCTGCTTGTTAAGAATAATAAAAATAGAGTAGAGCTGGAGAAAAATTGAAATAAATTTAGTAAAAATATTTATTTAAAAGACAAATTTATGAAAAATAAATACTATTTTAAATAAGTACTTGTGTAGTAAATATGAAAAAAGCAAATAGTACTTACTATTTATATTATTAACATTTACTTGAAATAGAATATTTATTTGACATTTTGATATTTCATGGTTAAACAAAATACTTCTATTTTTTACACACTTTCTATTTTCTATTTCTTAACAATACAAAATAAAAAATAGCATGGTGGACTTCTTCTACCATGGAAAATAGTAAAAGTAAAATAAAAATAGCATGTGTTTCATAGATATACGCGTGACATCCGTTATTTTTACTATTTTCTATTTTGTACTCTTAAGAAATGGAAAGTCGAAAATGGAAGTATTTTGTTTAACCATGAAATATCAAAATGTCAGATAGTATCTTATTACAAGTATCTTATTACAAGTAAATGTTAATGTAAATAGTAACTACTATTTGTCTTTTTTATACTTGCTATCCAAAATACTTGCTTCAAAAAGCGTTTTTATCCTCTAAACATAGAGACGCATATCCTCTAAATAAATATTTTTATTGAATTTATTTTTTACTTGTACTGGAAATATGTATTCACTATTTTCTATTTCAACTATTTTCCTATTGGCATAGGAAATGAGTATGACTAAGAATACAAGTATAAAAGAGTATAAGTTTAAAAAAAGGTTAGAAGGAAAAGAAAGAAAGAGAAAATTTAAAACGCAAAGTATTGTAATAAAAAATATCAATTGTAGAACTAAAACTTTTTTCTCATTAAGATAGCTCTTTCTCTCAGTGTACATACACTCGTAATTAATTTAATTAATTTAATTAATTCGTTAAAAAATTCATGTACTTACTCTTAAATAAAAAATAATAAAAATTCTATAAAAATTGTGAAAAGGATCTTCCAATAATCCTAATTTATTTAAAAATGTACGTATTAAATATATACTACCTTTTTCTAAGAACTTCGGTTAATAAATGAATTTCAATTCCGAGGAAAGTGTCATTCTGATCTTTTTTATTAACTTCTGATCCAATTGTCGTGTAATGTAGAAACATTTTTTGCAATAACAAAATTGTTTGGATTTTATATTCGTAAAGACTTATAGGGTCTAAAAGCTTCAAATCTTGTTCTCTTGGAAGCTTTGCGAATTCCGTCTCAAAAAGAATCATTAATTTTTGAGGTAGAGAATCACTCTTTGAATATTCATCGATTGCTGCCGTTGTTTCTAAATCAGATTTAGTTGTTTTTGGTGATTTTATTTCTTTAAGTGATTCCTTTTTTGCGATAGTTTCATGATCATTTTTCGCAATTTCGACATCGATTTTCGTTGCTGCCGGTAGTTTAATTTCCAAATCATCTCTGAGATGAAAAATAAATTTGAAATCTTTTATATATGTTTTTATTTTTAAATAAACGAATTTTTAAATATGAACCAATCAGAGAACCGTATTAGCATCATAAGACATTATATTTACTCTTAAAATAACAACAGACTATGAATATCGCTTTATGTCTCTTAATTTTGTAATTACTTATGTCTTTTGAATGCTGACAAATATTCTTGATAAGCGTCGTCGATGATCTGTCGCAACTTGATGGAAACCCAATTGTCGCCAAGTGCAATACCTTCGATAATTACATTATCTATGCATAATAGTGGCACTTGCAATGTCTTAGCGCTCCTGCACGCGGTTTCTTGATATTCTGAAGTAATATAATTTAATAAACATTTTGTTTTTGTGTTTTTGAATGCGAAATTACCAGTGAATGGCGCCCCGTGAAAGAGAATGCAAACTTTCTTGGCCGGTTGCGAAGAATCGAGTTCAGGAATTGATTTTGTTTCATGACTATCAAACAGCTCTTTTACAGGATCTTTTATTCTTTTGCAGAAACTAGGATCTTTACGCAGAGTCTCTATATAACCTTGGAAATAAAAATAGTTATAAAAAGTCATGCTTTTATTAAAATGTGTAACGACAATGCAATAAAAGTTGCACTGTAAGAATTTTTATTATCGAGATAAAGTTGCTCACAGAGAAGCAAATTATGAAGTTCTTTGGGATCGCTTGTTGGTAATATTGGAGGCTCGTGAGGAAAATCGAGCTCGCTAAGAACTGACATGGGTGGGCAATCTCTTTTTGCGGTGTCCGTAGAAGTGGATGAATAACCAGTTGACTTCTTCCGTTTCCGTCTGTCAACGTTAAAATCTTTTTGCAAATTTATTTTCGAGCTTTGTCGACTCGAGAATTGTTGGACAAATAATCTTGATGTACTAGACGACTTTTTTCTTGCTCTTATTCTATTCTTACGCTCCATGTTTAAAAGTTTGTCGTCGTCTATTCAAATATTAATTACATATTGCATTATATATAAACCTTTGCATTAATGTAAATTCTGTGCAAATCAATATTTGCAAATATCGCTAGCTAAAGCAAAGTTATTAATTTATAGAATGTTTTTTTTCGTAACAATTACAGATTATAATCCGAAAAAAGAAGCTTATTTTCCAGTCTCTTAATATATGTACCATTGAGCACAGTGGCACTTTTTTTCTCGATTGCTTCCGCCGACAGAGCGTACGCCATCTCGCTCTTGAGGCTATTATAGAATTCCATTAAAGACAGCGGCATTCTCTCTCCGAGTTTTCGAGGCGGTAATAGGATTTCTTTAACTCCGT